ACCAAGAAACAAGCACAACAAGTAAGACGTCCTATAATACTGCATAATCTGTTCATTACAAAATGGCCGCCGAAACCATAGAATACACGACTCGTGTACTGATTATAAAATGTTAATTGTGTATTAAATATTGGATATTACAAATTTTAGTTCTAGGCTAAGAAATAATAAGGAATAATCAACCATTCGGTGTTTCCAAAATAAAGAAGTCAACAGATCATATTGGTCAATGGATCATTTGAATAATGTAGGAATTGAAAACAAAGCCCCATGCAACTTACTCTCGACCTTCTAAGAGAATTATCTTGGCATTTAAATTACTACCGAAACAGATACTTAAACGTTTTAACCGAGTAGAAACATTCAGTATAAATAGAAAGTACTCCGTCAAACTGACAGACTTTCTATTTTCACAACACAACACATCCGGCAAATGTATATTAATATTTTTGACACTGTTATAAGTCTTTCCGACACGCACTCATCTTCTTCGCTATTTGGGAGGTTGCATGGCCGAATGGTTAGCACGTGCGCGCTGTATCATAAGGTCCGTCATTGAGTCAACTGGCGTGGTTTCGAATCCCCGGTTGCACGTGACAAGGAGTAGGGTCGCCTTTCCAGCCTCGTGGGTTTTCTCCGGGTCCTCCGGTTTCCTCTCACTGCTAACGACCCCTACGCGCAAGCGAATTATTGAAACAAAATTAAACCAGATATTAGTCCCAAAATGACCTAGTTTGTGTCGAGTGGACGTTAATCTCCCTCTCTCTCTCTCTCTTCGCTATTTCTTAATTATGTTTAAACACACTTTTATCTTCCTGTAGTCGTGAGGGTCGCACTGTTTCGTTTGATTAGATCCAATCTCACCCAAACACTGCCATACTCGGCGCAAATTTCTGTCCCAAATAATGACTGGTTAACAGTCCGATCAACAACCAGTACGAAACGACGTAACAAAATCAATCGAGATTAACCAGAGCTCTAAATATGTTACTGTAAAGTGTCTGGTGACAAACGCGGTTACATTACGTCAGAACGCGCGAAATGTATTACGCTCAATTAACTAGTACATCTTCTATATATATATTTGTGACTGTCGTTTGTCTGTCTGTCTGTTCGGGGTTGGCGGCTACACTGGGTCTGCCCCGAGTCTGAAATTTGGGGTCTAGGGGTAGCTCGGACCGGGGAGTAACATAGGCCAGAAGGCGTTAGTCTACCACTTCCGGTTTCGGCGTTATGACCCCCGAGCGAAGCCGGGTATCCTGCTAGTAACAGATATAGCAGAGAAACTAATTGTGTGATGAACGAGGCTATCCAAATATAGCTACAATGTAAACATTTAGTAAACGTGGAATCTTTTTATCAACTCTTGGACCACACAGCACACAGCAGATCAAAGAGAAGGGCTGTCGTGTTACGTATTGTGTTTCAACAAACTGGATAGAAATACGACATGTGCTTTTTCGATAACATTTATAATTCATGGATTTTCTTCACAAAAATGGATAAATATTATCGAGGCAGTAATAACTGGTACACGTTTAGAGAATTTATATCGGAGTTTCAGCGACGGCCAAATTTACCTATACGAGTATCGATGTTTGTTCCCGATGCATCCAAGTTTTCTTGAAATCAGCACTAACAAACACTGGGATAGTTTTTTTAAAAGAGGTCACTTCAGTTGCGTTATGAAAATTCCCTCGATTTTACTCAGGAGAGATTTGATTGGACGATACGAATACAGCAATGGCTATAGAGAGTGATTTCTCGGGCCATTGCTTAAGATATATGTGAGGCTAGGGGATTGGGAGACGCCGTCATCATCCTCGGCTTTGCTCAGTTGTGCTTGAAAAACTCTTGCACCGTCCTGTAGTCGCAAGGATGGGATATTTGTGGGTGTGTATGGGTGTGTGTGTGTGATGTGTGTGTGTGTGTGTGGGGGGGGGGGCTCATATATTTACAAATTTTTCGAAACTAAAAAAAACTCAATCTATATTGATGTTGTTATCTTGCCGTGAAAATACAGGATCCTAATATCCAATATTTAACACACAATTAACATTTTATAATCAGTACACGAGTCGTGTATTCTATGGTTTCGGCGGCCATTTTGTAATGTACAGATTATGTAGTACTATAGGACGTCTTACTTGTTGTGCTTGTTTCTTGGTGATCGTAACAAGACTACAGCATAAAATAGTTTCACAACTTTATTGCTAAGCTATAATGGCTTTGCAAGTTCCTCGTTCTTAATAATAATGGCTGCTAGGAAGTTTTTAATGAGTTCTGATCCAACTCGCTTCTACACCCTAATTTATACCCCCTAATTTATGCAGGTATTCGATAACCTTGACGTTAATTTCCAACCCATATATGGAATAAACTTCTTTATTTCCCACAAGTAAGATAGGAGACATTACCTACTTTTGGTCTACCAACCATAGGTCAATAAACAGCCAGAATTTGATGTATATTTTGACTATGATTATGATTTAACCAAAATATCACTGTTTTTTTTATGTATAACTATATATTCACGTTTATTAAATACGTGTGATTTAACTCTATCGACAGAGTAAAGTAACAATTTTGCAAAGAACCAAAATTGTCTCAAGGACCAAAGTGTTACAATTAAAGATGGGTTCCCGCGTACTAACTGGGTGTTTTAATGGTATATATGGACTAAAAACATATTCAAACTAATTAATTTGTCATAGTTTTGCATCAAATCTTTCTCAAACATTGTAATTGCGAAGGAATGTCCTGCTATAAAAATTCGATCAAATCAGGCCATGTTTACGCCACGTGACTTACCTCTCTTAGAAGTCAGAGGAGAATTCATTGCATACATAAGACGATGTTGTCTTTAATCGCTTACTATTTATTACAAATATCGAATCCTAATTAAATTCTCGGATTATCCACTACCCGCGTCTCTTTCCGTCATTTTTATCTCAGAAAGTGTTGTACGTCTAACTCTTCATAAAGTTTATCAACTTGTACATCAAGCACTCAATGTTCGCGTGTGACCTTTGACATCACGCGTGCAGAAATTCCTAATTGTCGGGTTGTTGATTAGGGAAACCCTTACATTTTTGTCCTGTATACGCTCCATGGAGTGTTTTTTGGGGAATCCAGTATTTTTCTAGTAAGATTGGATATCTCTACTTTCCATATATACCAAAATTACCATACTTTTATTGGAAATAACCACCCGATAAATACTTTTCTGGGAACTCATCTTTAAACAATATCCAACAAGGCATTGTGGAAGTAATTTGTAAAGGCTGTTCGACAAATGACAAAATAATAATTTAAAAAAAAACGTGTAGAATGGATTAAGCAAGCGTAAACGACTGCCTTTCAATTTGAATTGTTCACGTATTCCACTGAACATAATTGATTAAATATCACGATATTGTTGGGAACAAATTGAATATAAATCACTTTACATACATTCATATTATGTGCTATTAATATGTGCTATTAAAATGATTTTCATATATTTCACGGATTCCAAAAAATAGAACCACAGATATAGCTTTGATATTTTCCATTTTAAGGAATTGCGAGGTTTTATGTTCGATCCCGCTGTTGGAGGGCATAGCAAGAAACAGCGCCTAGTCAATCGGATGGAACGAAAAGCCCAATTTGGTATTCGACTTCCTAGCATACTGTTTGACGTATGCCCGTCTTCATTAGCTCTATTGGTTCAGAAACGTATAACGTTAAACATACATGCAAGAGCTAAATCTACATATTGCAGGTCTTTTTTTAGGCCTGAAATGTTATAAACTATTAATTAGACATTAATTAACCTATCCAGACAATAATCAAGTCTCGTTGTCATCGCTAGCCTGCGATATTTACTGGATTAGGATCCGATTTGCTGTTCAACTTTCATTCTTGATATAACGATTAAATGGATAATCGAGACTTTGCTTTTTATCGTACCGACTTTAGTAATGATGATCGAGCCTAGGCTGAAAATTCAATCGCTAAATTCACGGTTTAGAGTGTATCAATTTGACTGAAATTTTCAGCAAATTGCCTTTACATTATCTAGTTTTTAAATAATATAGTGCGAACTACCAGCTCTTTATCTAATCTCCCATAATGTATCTTTAAATAATATTTCATATTAGAAGCCCATAGACAATTTTCTTTAATTTGCCATTCTGATGTAGAACAGATTGTTGAACTTGCTTCAGTACATTACGTACAATATTTGGTGAAAGCAGCCATTCTTTTTAAATCAAAATATTGAGCGAGTTTGAAAAGGAAAAGTTCTACTAATGAGCACATAAACATCATACATAAACACATGAGATTCTGAAATACAACCGGTAAATACAAGACCGATGGCTGTGCTTCAGGTGCGAGTCATTTTTGATTGACAATTAAGCCTTTATATTTATACAAGGTCGGATATAAAATTATGAAAGTCAGTTCTATTAGATCTTGGTCAATACATATGTGTCCATTGTTTAAGATTCTAGATTCTTTTGATGCTATATACCGTTCATCTAATTTACAATAACGAAGACTCAATGAAGTTCATTGCTGACACCTGGTCTTCCCGATTGAAATGAAATGAAATGGGGTTTAACGTCCTACTGTTCTGCTCATAAATTGGGCTAATGAAGACGGGCATACGCCATACAGTGTGCTATGAGGGAAATTTTGCCCGGGCAGCGGCACTATCGCCTACTCTTATATCGAATTCCAACTGCCAAGGGATCTTTTACGTGTATTCTAATGTATACACGGGACTTCGGTTTTTCGTCTCATCCGAAGAACTAGACAGCTGTCCTTGTCAGGCCCTCCGTTCTGCACCACTGACAAGGGGGAGCCACGCCGGAAAATCTGGATGAACTTACTCGGCCAATGCAGGGATCGAACACCCGACCTCCAGGCTAGCGAGCCAGCGTCTTACCCACTTAGCCACGTGATCCCCACGTACGATAGAAGAACAAATGTAGCTGATTGAGTGAATTACCTACCCCTCTTCGTGCTTTCTCTCAGGGTTCAGACAGTTGCATTTCCAACCATTCTTCAATTATCAATTTCTGTACGAGTTATTTTATAACGGATCACGAATATCGTCGGCGCTGGTTCTGTGTTTGATCTGCCACAAGACGTCCTGTCATTCAGTTTCCTATTAAAATAAATGAATATTACTTTATAAAACGAGTAAGAGTATTTTTATAAACACCATGACAAATATGAATATATGTAAAAACTTAGCTATGTTTACTCAAAATGTCTTCTTGTATCGTAAAAATTTATAAATCAAATGAATTATGTATAATACGGTGATTCTGCTATTTATTTTTATAACCTATCTTGTTGTTTTGTTATAGGTTTATGTTTATCATTATGTTGTTCACTCTAAACATTGCACGGTTAATTATTTCATATTGTATATTTTACCAAATGTATTTAGATGTACTATGGGCCGGAGGCCTAGATTACTGAAATAAAGATAATAATAATAATAATAAAAAATAAATGAAATGGGGTTTAACTTTTTATTTGTCTCCCTTGTCAGTGGTGCAGGTCGGAGTGCCTGACAAGGACAGCTGTCTAGTCATTCGGATAGTACGAAAAACCGAGGTACCGTGTATACATTGGCGTGCACGTAAAAGATCCCTTGACAGTTGGAATTCGATATAAGAGTAGGCAATATTGTCATTGCCCGGGCAAAATTTTCCTCATGGCACAATGTATGGCGTATGCCCGTCTTCATTAGCCCAGTCAGGCATATACCATGCAGTGTGGTAGGAGGGAAATGTTACACGGACAACGGCGCTACGGTCTACTTTCATTTCGAATTCCAACTTTCTTTTATCTGTAGGCTACACGAGAGAGAGAGAGAGAGAGAGAGAGAGAGAGAGAACTAAGTGAAATAATAAATTAATATTTTAATAACCACATTGCCGTCTACAGCGTTTGTGATGTCATTATTTAATCTCTAGCATTTCTAACTTTATTATGACTGAGTAAGGTTCTGTAAATTAGTACTGATTCAAAGTCCAATAATACCGATATTATAGGACTTGGGAAATGAGAAAAACGAGTTTAGAGTCGGAGACTTAGGCTATGGGCGATTGGTTAACCATAAACACGGGTAATCTATGTTTTGGCCTTATATACAAACATGGCGGTGAGCCTGGAATCAATACGCCTGCTTTCCTAGGATGTTTTCAACTGTATCGTAGTATTTCCGCCCACAGTGATATATATTTATACACAGTAATTAAGCGAACAATAAGAGTTTGCTAGTTTAACTTGTTCTAACAATTACTGAAGATGGCCTTTTTATTGTCAGGTATTTATAACGCTATAAAGCCGTGACCAATTCTCTCAGAAACCAATTAATATTGTATCCAGCCGACTTAAAAGGAGATTTCTACCGACAATGCGTGAACGAAAATAAAAGATTTGAATTGCTAGTGTTCAGCCATGGTATATGGTTGATTTTAACCTCCCTATAGCGATCAGTAGTATCTGTCAACAGATTGTCCCATCCCCAATCTGATTCAAATACAGATCTATTTTTCGTTTCGTTTTTTTATACTTTCGATGGCCTACACTACATGAAGATCTGGCAAGTTGTAGCGATAGGTCGCCTCAGAGGTCATACGAGTGGCTTTTGACCCTATGACGTCAGGCAATTGATTACCCAATCAGCATTGATGTTTCTAGTGGATTACCCACAGTTCAGTGCAAAACACGCCTAAAGCTCGCCGTAACAGACCGTTTCATTGGATAATTCACCACTTCATTCAGAATAACAACTCTTCCAGATCCTAGTGTAGTAAAGACAAGTAAAACAAAATTTTGAACTATAAAAAACAAAACGAAATAGGATCTGTGTTTAAATCAGATTGCCCCATCCCCTTGACTGAGTAAATAAAATGGTTGTTTTTAACTTGCCCCAGTAAATAAAATGGGGCGTACCGCCCTACTTTTCGGCATAGGCTATAAGGGACATTTTGCCTCGGCTCTTTGTCGAGAACAAACTGCCAAGGACTCCTTTACGTGCACGTCGACGTGTACGTTTTGTTTTGGACAACCCGAAGTACTAGACACTGTTCTAAGTAAAGTCAATCTGAGCAAAGATGTAAATTAATATAACCCCCCCCCCCCCAAAAAAAAAAAACAACCGACGCACGATTTCAAGATGACTTTGATGACTCCTGCTTAATAATCTTTCAGAATGTCTAAAACTGTACTTCTAGATTTTATATTAAAGTATGAATTGAGAGAGTGAATGCATGAACAACCTTGTAAAGTATATTAAATGCCCCGAGCAAGATGATGTTATTATTATTGCGGAAATCATCTAAGTAACATCAACTTTTACTAACCACCGACGAAGATAAACAGCCTTACACCAGCTACCAGGCATACGACATCGGATGACGTTTATTAATGATAAGAAGAAACCTACCCTAAAGCTCTCTGAGTTGTTTTAATTGCCGAACTCTTGACTAAATCCATTGCATAGCGACATATTGTATAAACATACTATCAGCTCAAGGGACTGGATTTATTTGTTCATATTTGAGAATTTTGTATGTCGACTGTAACATTTTTATTAACGGGTATTATTTACTTGTATTAGTCACTAAAACACCAACCTAAGGCCGAACATTTTATTTTGTATTAATGTGAAATTATTTTTCTAAAACCAACCTAAGGCCGAGCATTTTTGTGTGTTAATATTCATTTACTTTTCTATGGGATCATCTTTTTAAGCTTCTGGATGTAGATTAATTAGAAATTACTTGTTAAATTATTTTGTATTGGACGAAAATAAAAAAAGATGAAGAAGAAAAAATCGTTAAAATTTTACGACAAAATAAACTAATGGGAGATGTCATAAGAAAAATCCACATTCTTCAAAATGTAGAATAATTTAATTGGAAGGAAATCAAAATAGATAGATGAAAAAACACTGGATTGATAAAAAAAAATCTCAAACAACTATTTCGAGTGCAAGCATGAATTGTTCGTTTTTTAATACCAACGCATCGTTATACCGAGTTAAACGTTAATTAATTACCATGTTATTTCAAAACACAGAATTTAAATTTAGGTCAAAATGAGCATTAGGTTTGCATTCTACTATTCTGTGCTGGCTGGGCCAATGAAGACGGAGGTCAAAATGTAGTACATGAAAAAAAAATAATTGGGTTTAACGCGGTATTGTACTAAACAGACCAGGCTAATCAAGACGGACACGGGCATACAACTTGCCAGTGTGCTATGAGCAACTTTTTGTTCGAACAGCGGCAAGCAGGATGTTAAATTTCATTTCAGTTCATTTCATTTAAACTTTATGAATTTCTAAATTAATTTTCAACATTAAGTATGATTAAAGACAGCTGGTTTATTGCTACTTTAGAATGTGAACTATTATGTGGTTGTGTGTGAACCACATTATGTGTTTGTGTGTGACTGTCACTTTAAGAATATGAACCATTATGTGTTTGTGTGTGACTGCCACTGGTATGTGACTGCTACTTTAAGAATGTGAACCATTACGTGCGTTGTGTGTGTCTGCCACTTTAAGAATGTGAACCATTATGTGTTTGTCTGTGACCTCCACTTTAAGAATGTGAACCATTATGTGGTTGTGTGTGACTGCCACTTTAAGAATGTGAACCATTTTGTGTTTGTGTGTGACTGCCACTTTAAGAATGTGAACCATTATGTCTTGGTGTATGACTGCCACTTTAAGATTGTAAAACATTATGTGTTTGCGTGTGACCGCCACTTTAAAAATGTGTTTGTGTGTGAACGCCACTTTAAGAATGTGAACCATTATGTGTTTGCGCGTGACTGCCACTTTAAGAATGTGAGCCATTATGTGTTTGCGTGTGACCGCTACTTTAAAAATGTGAAACATTATGTGTTTGTGTGTGACTGTGACTTTAAGAATGTGAACATTATGTGTTTGTCTGTGACCGCCACTTTAAAAATGTGAACCATTATGTGTTTGTGTGTGACTGCCACTTTAAGAATGTGAACTATTGTATGTGTGTGTGTGTGTGTGTGACTTCCACTTTAAGAATGTGAGTCATTATGTGTTTGTCTTTAACTTCCACTTTAAGAATGTGAACCATTATGTGTTTGTGTGTGACTGCCACTTTAAAAATGTGAACCATTATGTGGTTGTGTGTGACTGCCACTATAAGAATGTGAACCATTTTATGTCTGTGTGTGACTGCCACTTTAAGAATGTGAACCATTTTGTGTTTGTGTGTGACTGCCACTTTAAGAATGTGAACCATTATGTCTTGGTGTATGACTGCCACTTTAAGAATGTGAACCATTATGTGTTTGCGTGTGACCGCCACTTTAAAAATGTGAACCATTATGTGTTTGTGTGTGAACGCCACTTTAAGAATGTGAACCATTATGTGTTTGCGCGTGACTGCCACTTTAAGAATGTGAGCCATTATGTGTTTGCGTGTGACCGCTACTTTAAAAATGTGAACCATTATGTGTTTGTGTGTGACTGTAACTTTAAGAATGTGAACATTATGTGTTTGTCTGTGACCTTCACTTTAAAAATGTGAACCATTATGTGTTTGCGTGTGACCGCTACTTTAAAAATGTGAACCATTATGTGTTTGTGTGTGACTGTAACTTTAAGAATGTGAACATTATGTGTTTGTCTGTGACCTTCACTTTAAAAATGTGAACCATTATGTGTTTGTGTGTGACTGCCACTTTAAGAATGTGAACTATTGTATGTGTGTGTGTGACTTCCACTTTAAGAATGTGAGTCATTATGTGTTTGTCTTTAACTTCCACTTTAAGAATGTGAACCATTATGTGTTTGTGTGTGACTGCCACTTTAAAAATGTGAACCATTATGTGGTTGTGTGTGACTGCCACTATAAGAATGTGAACCATTTTATGTTTGTGTTTGACGGCCACTTTAAGAATGTGAACCATTATGTCTTGGTGTATGATTTCCACTTTAAAAATGTGAACCATTATGTGTATGTGTGTGACTGCCACTTTAAATATCGTGAACCATTATGTGTGTGTGTGTGTGACTGTCACTGTAAGAATCTGAACCATTTGTGTTTGTGTGTGACTGCCACTTTAAGAATGTGAACCATTATTTGTTTGTGTGTG